GTCACATGGCAATAGATATCAAATGTGATAGAATTTTCTACATTTTGTTAAGCAAGAGCAATAAATGGAAAGTACTTCACTTTAGTCTAAACATTAAGGAGGAATTAAATGTAATAGAATTTTGTTTTGGGAATTACTTATGAAATAGTGGTCACTTTATTGAATAAAAAAATTCTTTAAAATCACTCAGAAAACAAATGATGCTTTCTGTTGCAACAATAAACTAGCATCTCTTTATCATCTACAGAACTATTAGATAATATTTCTTGTTGCTGATTATACCATAATAAAGTTTTCTCTTGTGATTTCAGGAAGCATTAACCATTAATACCGCTCTATACATTTTTAATGTGTTGAATGTGAAAATTTGCACAAATGTTCTACAATATTCAAAATATAACTGGTATATACATATGTTCCAAGAGGCCACCATCTTAACATTTCCATGAAAATGAAAGTGGTTTCTTCAAAAGTAAGGTAGTCTGTCGCTGAGTATCTTGATAATTCTCCACTTGAAAAGCTTTAACTTTGCAAATGCAGAGAGATGAACCGATTTCAAGATGACTAGTTAGCTATAGTACATTCAACAGATAAAGAGCTTCAAAATTACTTTTCCCTTAAAATATCAGCATATGAGCTTTGATGCTTTAATCATTCGGGCAGTAAATTCCAATTTTAATTGCTACTTAGGGACAGACCAGGAAGCACTTTAGTGCAGCCCAATGACAAAAGCAAAGAGGTTGCTTACCGTAGGTTCCCACAATGCACCACTCTCATTCTCTCTCTCTCTCTCTCTCTCTGTGAATTTCTTCATTGCCAGCCCAAACCGCGTCACGGTATTTGTTATTATTGTTCCTTATACTTTGTTCCTAGCTAAGGAAGACTCAGAAACTGCACTTAACTGAGACTGCCTGCAAGAGAATGTGCCCACGGCTGCTCTGTGTGGCAGGGCTTCCTCTACTAGGACAGCGTTAAGTGAACTTCCTACAGGATGGTACAAAGCTTCGGGATTTGTGTTCAAACGGATGACATGGAAACTGCCCTACTTTCAGCCACCCACTCTCAAAGTTGCAAAGCACCACTTCGGCCCTAGCTTTTGACCCAGGCTTTTGACCCAGGCAGTGATAAGCATGTGAGACTCGAAGGCAGAGCTAGCTTGCACCATCCCAAAGGAGGAGTCTAAATATTCTGTCACCACCTTACAACCACCACAAACTCACTGCACGCTATTGGACAAAGACAATTCAGACATAATTTCCCATCCTGAGAATATTATTGAAACTTGGTAGAAGAAATAAACAACCAGGATGTATGAGAATTCGCTTTATAGGTTTATCATGTAATGTTTCCACATATACTACCAGAAATGCTAACACTTTTAGCTTCTTTAAGCTAACATTTTAGTGATTTCCTGTTATTACCTCTCTTTCAATTTGAAATATTTGAAAGCACATATATGTATATAGATATGTAGATAGGTATACACATGCATACACACATATACGTATAGATGTGCTATATCTATATCTATATATATATTTGCATATGTGTGTGTATATACATTTGTGATCAAATACTAACTGGCTGTTAAATGCGTTAGTTAGATCTTGGTTTTCTTATCTGAATGAAGATAATCATCCACCTTCGTAAAACTAAATTATTTTTCTACTGTCCTCACCAAGTATGGTGAACTGTTATTAACTTATCAGAGAAAAAACGCTGCCCTCTGGGTCATTCTATATTGAGAAATAATAAAGAACAGTGTTTGAAAAGTGATTTTCTTCAAATACTTGTGGGGTAAGTTGAATTTTTAGAACTACTCCATACATAATTTCTAAGTCATAACAGTTTGCAACTCTGACACCCTACTCAAGACATATGAATACAAGGTTGTGGCAAAGAAGAAAAAATCTATATCCACATTTTAGACCATCAGTCGGATTAATCAAAAAGTTCGAGTCAAGCTGTCAAATAATCCTTTTGCATTTTTCTGTTATCTAGAATATTTTCTCCTTCAAGCAATCACTTCTTAATTTTGATATCCAACAGGGTAATAGTCTATGTTTCCAGTTTCTTCAGATTCATAAGCTAATCAGCAGAAACCAACAGCGACATATTTATTCTATAGTCTACTAAATTTAGATAATAAGTGGCACTAGCTTTAAAATTGCTTCTCTGGCAAGGTTCACAGATGAATAGTTGTTTCTTTCTTCAACTGGCCAGATTAAGGAACCCACATCCCACTGCAAGCTATGGAATAATTATGCTGCTGTTTATTATTTTCAAACCCATAATTAGCCACAAAAAGCATGTACAAATAAAATACTGTGTTTATATTTGCCATACAAAAAGCCCTGTTGTTCAACAACAAAGATATCAAACAACATATTTTATAAAACTGGTATTTTGTAATTATCGGACTTAGAGCTTACGATATTTCAAAAGGAAAACCTTCATAAGGGAGCTAGAAAGAGTAACCTCAGAGTTATTCCATTCTGCACAGCACTGCCTGGATTTCAAGGCTCTAAGTAAAATCTAATATTCTCTTAACAGTTAAAACTGAGACCATTTGCCAAGGAGAATTTGTTGCTAAAATACTTTTCACTAACAGATTCTGAGCACAGCAGCTCTTGGATTAAGAGATTTATATGCCCTTTCATCTTGTTCTCATTTACATGCAGCTAGAAAAACAAATACTCTCCCAAGCTTTCCTTCATATTCTTTCCTTCTCTTGTTTAAATAATCACCCTGTTTACAGATAAATTATGTGTCTGTTCGGGGTCCATATGTGAGTCACACATGATGAAATGCCTGATCATTTATTCCTTTTTTTAACTAGGTGCACTGTGGGGTATCTTTTATCTCAGTGACTAAATTACTATTGCCATATAATAACAGTGCTCAAATTATCCAAGAACAGCTTCCACTAAAGATCTATTTTTAAAAGGCAATATGCATTTGTCCCTCCACTGTGTGTCTGTTTTCCTGTCGGACACAAAAACTCTATGAAGAAATGCATTTCCAGAAGAAAGGATCACAAATTAAGACACTAAGATGGTCTGTATCCAGCAGCTTTAGTGTGTGCGTTCGGAGAGCAATGGTTGTAACCTTTGCAAATAGGGAGATAATTTTGAGGAAATGTTTGTGTCTACTTTAGCACCCTCAGTTCTCAGTTCCTCAGACTCACCTGCTCTCTCCAAGGCATACACAGGCAGCCATGAGCACCGTTATTCAGAAGCTTTCACCATTATGAGAAGTTGGCGGGAACTTGCTTGAGATACTCACTTTAATAATTTACTCCACCTAAATGTATCACTTATTGCTCATCAATTCTCATGGTATTTTTTAACTTGAATAAAAATAGGCTCTGGGGTATAAGAAATATCTCGGAGGGGAGAAAGCATGGAACTAAAAGAAGAAAACTGTTGTAAGCAGTCAAGCATAGGGCACGGGAGCACTCAGTTATCATTTGTGTTTTCTCTGATCCATTTTTGGGAAAGTTCAGCACTTACTCTTGTCCTATCAATGTCAGCTGCCAGGCCATTTAGATAATTAATATATTTCAATAAAGATATGCTATTCAACTGTAAACCATATCTATAGTGAATTAACTTTTCTACAGTTCTTATAGTCTAACCTTACGTGGGACAGGGAGTTGAGTGTTCTATAACACTCTTAGCTATACTACTTTAACACTATGATTATCAAGGAGTGAAAATTGCACATTTTCATTGCTCAGTTTCTGGATTTATGTTTAAAGTGAATATTGTGAGAAAATTAAGTATCCATCTAATTATAGTACAATAGTAAATATCACGTACCAGTTCCTTCAGTCATTCACCAGTTTTATAGCAGATACTAGACAAAAAAATTGATCAATAAAGAAGCAGTCTATTTTTTAATTTTTACTTATTTTTATTTTAATGTGTATGAATACATTGTGTGCAAGTATTTAAGTGCACCAGTGTTATGCAATGTCCATGGAAGCCAGAAGAGGGCATCGGATCCCCTGGAACTAGAGTTACAGATGGTTGTTTGCTGCCAGATATCATTTTATATTTTCTCTTGCAGTTTAACCTTACTTGGGACAAAGAGTTGAATGTTCCATAGCAATGTAAGTGCTGGGAGTCGAACCTAGGTCCTCTGCAAGAGCAGCCAGTGCTCTTAACCACTGAGCCATCTCTCCAGCCCCATAAAACAGCAGTGCAAATCTTCCCATATTTGCATGTGTCCCAGCGGGAGTCATTTATTGCACTTTCTTTCCTTTTCCTCTGCAGACCCAGTAAAATAAAAGCTGGAAAAAGTCTGTAGCATTGAACCGATTTCTTCTGCCAGAACCTTCTTTACGATTTCTGCCTTTTGAAATGACCTAAGATTCCAGTTGTCCCTTTAAAACACATGAAAGAATTGAGGAAATAATCCCCAAATTTTAAGGAAACAGTTACCAAAAAAAAGGCACTTTGTTATTAGCACAACCCTAAAACTAAAAACCATTTAAAATCAATACACTAAAATTAATTCTCAGGTACAGTCGAAAGCTTGGGAGAACTTAATGAGCAATGGGATTTCTAATTTTACCATGTATTTTGAAGCTACTTACAAATAAGAAATGTATTTGTCAAAAAATAAATGAAACACATAAAAAAGATCAAGTACTCATTCATAATGTTTGCTTTTTTATTAAAAAAAAAAAAAATAGAACCGAGCTAGTAGCACTGTAATGCAGCATCAAGAGGCCAAAGAAAGATCCCAAGTTCGAGGCCAGCCTAGGCTACATAGTAAGATGCTGTCTTGAAAATATAAGGCTAGCAATAATTGTCTAGGATGCACAAGGCTCAGGGTTGTCCCCAAACAAAAATTAAAGAAGAAAAAGGGAGAGAAGGAAGAAAAGAAGAAAGAGAAGAACGGAAAGATGGGGGAAGGAAGGGGGAGGGAGATCAGTCCAACTCATGAGGATAATAAAATACCTCTTGGCTAGTCAAATATTTTAATCCTTCAGGGATCCAGTTCCTTAAATGTAGTAATCACTCTTAGCTGAATAGCTGAACAGTTGGCAACTTCAAAAATGCAAAACTTAGGTGTTCTACATGAAATGGCAGGCCAGATGCAAACACTCCCAGTTCCACAGACAGCCCACGCAGCAAACCAGATGCAAACACTCCCAGTTCCACAGACAGCATTCTGTTTGCCCTGCTCTGGCCCTCTTACTTTCTCGGCTACATTATTTGGACTTTGCCACGATGTCTCTGCCTCAGAAAGTTCGTATTTGTACCGCTTTTTGCCTCATGACCCAGAGCAACCAGATTAGTGTTCTGTTCAGGCAGTAAAATCCAACTCCTAAGTGGTTGAAGATTCAGATTGACCTTTAAGAAACATCTGTTTTTTTCCCCATGTGGTTCCCAACAGTTTCTCTGATTCTTAAAGTTCAACTCATCTTCAGAAAGGATCCTCTCTAGAAACCAAGTTCAAGGTGTCTGTCCAGCAAGTCATCTAGACTAGAAAGAGGACAAGTTAGATGAGAAGCTGATTACTAAGACGAGGACAAAGTGTGTCCTCTCAGCTCAATGTTCAGGCCAGAGCAGCTGGCTAAAAGAGAAAGGCATGAAGATGATTCAGGAGCTACTCTTAAATACTTGTTCTGTTCTTCTAGTAACCGCCCCCCATTTGAGACAGACCTATCCCCATTTATAGGAACAGATGAATTATCCATACCCTTCTGATATTTAGGTGCCTGTTTAATCTCTTGCCCCAGGTGGCTGTAACAGCAAAAAGAACATACAAAAAAAGGGAGTTTTACTACTTGTCATGTGCAAAAGGACTTTATATTCTATCCACTCCTGCCACGATCCGCCCACCTGCCTGCTTCCTTCCCTTTAAAGCAAACAAACAGAAACCTAGGTAGCCATAGAACAAAGACTGCTGCCGAGCAGACAGTGTAATACAACTTAAAACAGTTCCATGCGATTAAGAACCAGATGTGAGTGGGTTGGAACTCTAGCTATGACATGCTTCACCGTGAGATACTTTCATATTTCTTGACTTCGTTCAGTGTCAGTCACCCCATGTGTTGAAGAAAGCTAACACCTGATGTGGGATTACAGAATGAATGACACGTGTCCTTGTAGTGCCTCAACTGACTTGCTTATTGTAAGAAAAAAATAGAAGAGTGGAATTCAATGCAACGACATTCTCATACCGTGACATCACTTTTGTTGACAATACTCTCCAAAGAAACAGATATAGGGATGAATTAAGTTTGTCAAAATAATTGTGGGGGACCAGTAGAGACAGTTCAAACTGTCACATCCCTGTGCTACCTGGGTCCTACTTGCTTAAGGTCCCACCGGGTTGTTTGAGAATATAACAGTGATCAACACAGTACGAACAGAAAAGAAAGAATATTGAGTTTTAGTGTTCACAGTAACAAGAATCCTTATAGATTGAACTCAGTTTTTCCTTATCATGAGAGTAAGAATATGTGGTTGATTCACTAGCTTTTTAGCGCTTCAGACTGATGAATACAAGAACTAGAGGATAACTTAAATCTGAACTCGTTATGACTTTCCCATTTAAAAGCTAAGCGATACTACTGGAAGCAAGACATTAGATTAAGAAAATAGTTATTTCCCATGTAAAGGGATTTTTATCTTTGACTGGGACTGGCAATAAGCACAGTTTCACTACACAGAGTTATCAATTCTGGGTTCCATGCTTTGCACGAAAGATGTTGAATGGAATATTTAAGATCATCTGTCAAACATGGAGCCCACAACAGAGACACTGTGGAGGGTCATGGTAGCTAGGTTCCATCCTACTTGCATACCTCCTGTATCAATCTGTTCCTGGTTTTCCCAAATATCCCCCTGCACAATGGCTCCTTTTCCGGACCATTTTTCTTTATGTAGAACACAGATCATGCTACCTGAAACACCTACACAGAAAGTCTCCTTCACATCCCTGGAGCCAGAGAAAGCACTAGCACCAAAGCTTCACGTGATCACTGCCACCCAGGTAGAGGACCCTGTCTCCATCTCCTGCCTTCTCTTTCTCATGGAAAGCATCTTCCCATCCATGGAGCACAGCCTGCAGTCCTGCTTAGATGCTGCTTAGTTTCCTGGGTCCCAGCACTTGCTATGTTTGCAACGTCTGGTGAGTTCATTTCAAAGACAAGGTTATCTTCTACCTGACTTTTGCTTCTACTCCCCAGTCAAAAGAATAACAATTACTGGGGCTGGAGAGATGGCTCAGTGGTTATGCACACCGACTATTCTTGCAGAAGACCCGGGTTTGAATCCCAGCACCCACATGGCAACTAACAACCGTCCATAACTCAAGTTCCAGGGGATCTGACAGCCTCTTCTGTCCTCCGTGGGCATTGCATGACACGGGTGCACTTACTTACATGCAGGCATAACACTCGT